TCGGAAGTAGTTTGTCACTCTTCCTTCCTAGTCTGTCTTTGTTTGGAAGCTCATCTGAAACCTGTCCACCATGGGTGACCCTGCTGGTTATTTAAAATATCGGTGGCATAGCCCTCAGAATCACAGCAATTCAAACTACCACAGCACGATAGACAGATAAGTGGTGGTTGTGTGGTCGCTGTTAAACACGAATCTCCTTGCGCTAAGGCCTTTAAGTCTAGCTCAAAGGTGGGATTTCCATCCTTGGATGTCGCGTCAGTCAAGAGGCGGAAGCACAGCAAGGGTGACAGGGTTGTAATGAGACGCTTTGGGCTGCGGTTGTGAGTCTCTAATCCCCAAAAGAGCTCCAGCTTAAATAAATTTTCTACAGTGGAAAGGTATTCATCAATATGTACGTATTAAAATAGCTTTATATGTATATGTTGTTTTTGTTAAGTGCCTACCTTCAAGTCAGTTCTGAATCATAATGACCTTATATAGGATTTCCAAGAAGTGGCTGGTGTGTTTGAACTTCCGACCTTGTGGTTACAGTCCAGTGCGTATCCTATAGCGCCACACCATATAGTTTATTAGAATAGATGTTTTTACTACTTGACCTAATTTTTATTACTTGACCTACTGCTTTTATTACTTGACCTAGTAAACAAAGACTACTATGGTAGATGGAAATTCTTGATAAATAGGATGTTTGCTGATTTAAAAATTGAAATAAAGTAAAATGTTTCTTCATCCCAATGATAAATTAGTACATTTTGGATTGTGTTCCTCGTTTCTTCCCTTTTTTTTTTTTTTTAACTTTTATTGTGAATTGAGTGATAGTTTACAGGAGAGGGCTTCAGTTTTGCATTCAACCAATCATATTTTGTTTCACTGCAATGAGTACAATCCCTTCCATGTACCATCGGTTAACAGTATTTCCCTCTGTTCCTTCTTTTTTTTATTGATGTACACAAAACTCACAGAAAATATATATTCGTTTAAATGACCAAAGGGCTAGTTTCTTATGCAAGGACTGAAGTAGAATCTGTTGCGGAAAGGGGCGTGTTCTTTCTTCTGTTAAGTGCAACAGAAAATCCAGTTGTTATTTATTATAGAAAATTAAGCTTTCTGTACCTGGAGTGTCCATATTTGTAAAATTCAGAGGAGGTCTGAAGGAGCCTTGGTGGCACAGTGGGTTAGGCACTGGGCTGCTAACTGAAAGGTCAGTGGTTCAAACCCACCAGCTGCTCTGTGGAGGAAAGATGAGGCAGTCTGCTTCCAAAAAGTCTGGCAGTACTGGAAACTCTGTGGAAAGGGCTGCCACAGTCAGAACTGACAGGATGGCCACAATGGCAGTGGGTACAGTGAGGAGTAGCAGCTCGGATGGCACAGGGTTAAGCGCCTATCTCTTAATTAAAAGGTCAGCTGTTCGAACCCACTAGCCACTCCACGGGAGAAAGATATGGAGGTCAGCTTCTATAAAGATTTTCAGCACTTAGGGTTTCCATGAGTTGGAACTGACTCAACAATGAGTTTGCTTTTGATTTTATTGGGTTTTAATTCTTCCCCCTCAAAGACACCTTTCAGCTGTAGCCACACACACTCATCTTTCTTCTCCATCCAGGGCCAACAGGCAGTACAGATGACTGCACTCATGACCCCCTCAGGAGACACAAAACAGTGGTCAAGGAGACCCAGGCACTGACAGACACACACCAGGACCCTATCACTAGCTACCGTCCAGCTAGAACGTCCCAAGGTTTTTGAAAACACAGAGTCATAAAGATCCACAAAGATGCTGAGTCTGGATGGTTTTGGTCATCTTTCCAGGGTAATTTAACTTTTTCGATTCCTACTGGCTTTGTAAAAATGCTATCATCTTCAAATGAGTTGTGCAAGGAAGTCACTGACCATCCCCACTCTCTAGAAGAGGAAATGGAAGTTCCCCACACTGACCCCTACTTTGCTCTTTCTGTAAGAAACACAGGGTCCTTTAAAAGTGAGACCCACACTTATGTTGTGCCATGTCTTCCTGCATTAGGAAGCTTGTTCAGTCAGCCTTGAGTCCTGTTAAGCTCTGTGAGGCAGAGATTATAAAAGGTCCATTTCACAGAAGGTTTTTGGTGAACATGGAACTTGTCTCGCCTGGAAAAACCCAGGGCTGCAGAGTTGGGCTCAAATTTCTGCTCTGGAAACAAAGTCCATGTTTGAGACCTCAACTATTAAGGATCAGTGACCTTATCTATAAAGCAGAGGTAAGTGCTTGGGCACCATAGTGAGGAGACCCCAAACTTGGACATGAGATGACTCTGAGAAGGGAACTAAAACTAATACTTCAAAGACGAAAACACGAAGAAGCCAAACTCTCTTAAAGAAACAAGTCCTCAGACAGTAAGACTAGACAGTAACCTGCCTGGACATCATTACAGGCATTCCCAGATCCCTTCTTACAGTGTGTCTATGAGCTGGCTTTGTAGACAAGACGGAATAGGTGCATACTGTCCTTACTTATTTAGTGTTATTTTAATGCAAGAAGAGGCTCTATTAAAAGCTGCACTCATAGTGCAGGTGACTGAGATGAAGCAGGGTTGATTCAATTGTTTCAAAATGAGGGTAAATTTATGTAATTTTAAAAGGCAAGTATAAATTGTCTGTCTGTAAGTCAAACAACACTCGTAACCCAGGGACTTACTGTATTTAAAGCTATAATTAATCATAGGTCTAATTTTAATGTTTTTCCTCCCAGGCTAAGTTATAAGTTCCAGGAGAGCAGGAACCAGCTCCGCCTTTCACTGACTTCACCCTAATGCTCAGTCACATAGTAAGCACTCAATAAAAGAATGAATGGGATGTGTCTAAATAAACACTGTGTCGATTAGAAAGGGTGCAGGTAAGCAAGGGAAGTAAGGAGGCAGACACTGGCAGTGCTTATCCAAGCCCTGTCTAGGTGAGAGGACGTTCTGGCAAGCAAACCGAACTGTCCAGTCTCACCAAGAAGACCACCCTCTCAAGGAGTCCAGCATCAGCCTGTTTGTGTCTGGTATCGTACACATTCAATTTTTCAATTCCACTTGTCTGATTCCAGTTCTAGTTAAGCAGCATTCTACTGATGACTCAGGTCCTGCTGGAGGTATGCTTATGGGCTGGTTGCCATCTGGGCCCTGGGCCCATCATCTGTAATTAGATAAACTGGCCAAAGGATCATAGGCACCAGGTCTGAGCTGATGCCAGCTGGTTTCCCCAAGAAACAAGCCCGCTCCTTATGGGCAGCCAAACCCGGGGCCATGACAGGTTGATAAGGTAAAGAAAGCCTTCCCACTAGCCATCCCAAGCTTATCCTTTAACCTCTGAGCTATACGATTTACTGCTACTTTTTCTAGAATACATACTTTGCAAAGTTGTTCTAAGATGCAGACAGTGCAAAGGGCCAGTACAAGGTAAGCACTCAATAAATAGTAAGATTACTATTGCTTTTTATGACACATAGCAAATAAATGGCTGGGTAAGGATTCCACAAAGATGTCTTACTTTCTGCCCTATGGAGCTGACAGTCTAGAATATGAGTATGAACCTTGATGAACTGAACACGTCAAAGTCTGATAGGTCTGTAGAGGAAAGGGAAGACAGTGGTGCGTAGGAACCACAGGGGTACAACTCATGGAAGATGAAAGATGAGTAACTTGTGAATCGGGACTGGGACCCCACTGTCCTGTGGAAGGGGCAATGGTAGTATGTGGGCAATTCATATTCAGTGAGCAGAGGCCGCAGCTAGCATCCTACAATGCTCCCGACAGCCCTACATAGTGAATTGTCTTGAGTGGTGCAACCGGTTAATATGCTTGACTGTTAACGGAAAGGCTGTGTGGTTTGAGTCTAACCAGAGGAGCCTCAGAAGAAAGGCCTGGTGATCTACTTCTTTAAAAAACCAGCCACTGAAAACCTATGAAGCACAGTTCTATTCTGATACACCTTTGGTTGCCATGAATTAGAATGGACTCACTGATAACTGGTTTAGGTACCAACGACACCACTTGGATGAGCACCAGGTCTGCAGGGAAAAGGGGGAGAGGGTAGGTGAGCCACAATTCAGATGAGGAAACGGCACAGACTCCGGGGCAGCGAAATGGAGAGAAGGCTTTGTAAGGACAAGTCATCACTTCCTACTGTTTTTGGAATGAAATGAGGGGCTCCTTGCAGAGTGGAGAGTGGCCCTCTGGTTTGTAGCTAATCACACATAATCTGTTCCTGGTACCACTTTGCTTTCTCACTTCTTAGCAGGGGCATCTCCAGCTTGTTGGTCAGCTTCCTGACCCCCAAGCCCAAGATGCAAGGAGGTAGAGCGGCCACAGGGCTGGGTCTGATTTCTTTCCTGACCTACCTTTCTCCAACAGTCTCCATGGCCCTCAGGAAAGTGGTGCCCACAGCCTACTCTGGCTTCACAGTATGGGCAGAGGTGACAAAATGCACATTCAGAAATAGCAGGCAATGGCGTTGCCACAGACACACACATGCATGCATGCCAAAACCAAGGACGCTTTCTGGCTGAAAAGAAAGCGGAACATCTTTCCTTTAACATTAATGAAGACTGAATTTGCGGAGTCAAAGCAAGGCACACTCTTGAAAATGGAGAGGGCGGCACACCATGTAGAGCAGTGCCAGAACTTTCCACCCAGAGAACAACGAAGCATGCATGTATATACATACCCGGCTTGGGTACTGTCACGATACGGCAGCACTGAAAAGATACTACAGAAGGATCTTCTGCCACTGATAAGGACTATTCTAAAAAACAAAAACAAAACAAAGAACAAACAAGAAACAAACTAAATACAAAGACTCTCATATTAAAAAAAAAGGCATTAAGGATTCATTGACTTCAGAGTAGTGTGTTTGCACACTCCCGCCACCTCCTCTGCCAGATGGTGTTTAGCTTGCTTCAAAAAATGCGACCAAGCTTTCCCTGAGGGGAGCAGTGCCACCTCCCCTCATCTAAAAAGTCACAGGTGAGCACCCATGAACCCCTGCTCTCAGGAGGCGCTGCCGTGGGAGCAGGCACAGTGGAGAGTCCGCGGTGGTCCGGGCTGGGCTCTCAGTTTTACCATAGAGAATCCCTCGATTTCCGTTCCATAGTCAACAATGCCAGAGCAATGGTGCCAAGGACTGATGAGCCAGAAAAACAGTCATTTTTTTTGCCTCCAAAATGCAAATCAGCCTATCAGGCATTGAACTTTCATCTTTGTTGTTGGGGGTTTGAGATGAACTCATACATCTTCTACTTCATGTTCTAATGACCTAACAGTCATTAGGTGTTTTATATGCCAGCAGCAAATAAGCTAGGCTTAGAGAATAAATGAAGGGAACAATTACATAATCAGTCTTAGCCTCCCTTCCAGCTATAAAGATAACTTCTGTTAATAGTTCTGCGCAATGCTCTTATGCAACCATGCCGCTGTTGTAAAGTGCCGTCGAGTCGGTTCCGACCCATAGCGACCCTGTACAGGGTTTCCGAGGAACAGCTGGTGGGTTTGAACCTCCGAGCTTGTGGTTCAAACTCACCTTGCAGTCCAGCGCATTATCCTGAAGCGCTACATCATAGGGACCTTTTAAAAACAACAACAACAAAAAAAAAACCATAAAAAAATAAATGCCTCAAAAGTATTTATCTAGGTATCTGAGAATAACTTTTGCCACAGAGAATTGTTGATGAAAAGATGGAGAAATGAGTGTGTGGTGGGGATTAGAAAACAACATCCTTCTTTAGCACCATTTATATACATCATATATAGAATTTATTTATTTACTTTTGCCATCTTTCCACCCATAATATAATAAAACTAGAGGCAAAAAAGACCCTCAATATTCAATGCATCAAGGTTTGGGATCTTGCTTTTAGCTTCTGATTATTAAATTGCCTACACGCCCCCAAAGAGTCCTGGTGTGGCGCTGTGGGTTAAATGCACTAGACTGCAAAGTCAGTTTGAACCGTAAGGTTGGCAGTTCAAGCTCACCAGCTGCTCCTCAGAAACCCTATACAGGATCACTATGGGTCAGAACTAATTTGATGGCATTTAACAACAACAACATCCCTCAAGGAAAACTCAGATTCCCTGGCATGGAAAACCAGGCTCTTCTTGCCTCTTCAGCCTCAACTTGCTATAGCATCTGTTCATGTTAAAGCAACCCCTCCTTTAAAAACGATCCCTTCTGTCTCCACTGCCCTGCCTGTTACCCAGAGTGTGCACAGTGAACTCATGTGTATCCACTGTATCTCTTGTTGGTTCAGTTCCTCTGAAGAAGCCTAACAGAACTACCTGTCCGCTGTTGAAAGGGCAGAAGCAGCATGTCCACGACTTGAGGGCCAAGGATTGAAATGACTCATGATCACATCCTCCTAAACACCAGCTGGGTTTCTTGGGCTCTCACACATGGACCCCAGAAATGCTCAGAGGAACTGACGCAAACCAATACTATTTAGGGACTGATTATGTGCCAGATTCTAAATGCTTCAACTGATGAGGCATGAGACATGAGCAATGTGCTCCCATGCATGGTGGTCTAGTGATGGCTGCCGGAGACATGACGGTGCTCTCTGTCACAGCTCAAAGGACACAAAGGGCAGTCCAAATCGGATCCCGGGTGGGGTGGGGTGACTGTGCACCCTGTTTACGCTACCAATGACATCTTCTTCAACCAGGTTTGCTAAGGTGGCTTTCCAAGCTGGCCTGTGGGTCAGGGAGATAGGTCCCAGGCTCATGAAAGTCTGATATTAGACCTCCAAACTTCCACTAAAGCTCAGACTGGGCCCTGTTCAGACAGAAAGATAGAGGCTCTTCATCCCTGCCTTCTGTCCACAAGGACAAAAGCCTACCACTCCTCACCGCTCCTGTCACTTCATGTCACTGTCTTCTGCAACATAGGGAAAGGACTGTGTTGAAGAAACCCAACTAACTTACCATTACTACACTTCCCCATTCTCACTGCTAATGCGTCCCTCCTTCCAAACCACATTTGTGTGGGCATTTTGGACAGAATGAGAAAATATAAATACAAGTGACATGCAAGTCTCCTTTCCAAAGTTCCAACCACGAGATGCCTTTTAGTAGATGGGCTGCAGTCATCCGTTACATGAGCCGTCACATCGTGGGGTCCTCATGCACATGTGAAAATGAACAGTTCCGAATAAGCACTGTTCCCAACCATTCCTGTAGGGTTGGCTGTTCTCAAGAAGCAGCTGGACGGCAGAGGGCAAAGGAAGAGTGGAAGGAGGCAGTGTCTTTAGGCAGTTGGCTTTCACTCTCAGGTCCAAAGATCTCACAGATTCCCACTTTCTGCAGGGGCCACGGCAGCTCTGCCTCACGTAGTGTGAGAGGGATTCCAGGACTTAGAGCAGGCGAATATCAACAATTGGCAAGCTTTAGTCTTCTCTGTTTTCAACACTGGCAACTTTCAGCAGCACCTTCTAAAGGCAGAGGAGGCCTATGGTACACTGATTAAGAGCTCAGCTGCTAATCGAAAGGTTGACAGTTTGAACCCATCAGCAGTTGCATAGGAGAGGAGTAGACCGGGTGATTGGTTCCTGTAAAGACTACAGCCTTTAAGATGGGGTGATTCTACTATCATATATAGAGTCTTGGTGTGGCACTGTGGGTAATGCACTGGACTACAAGGTCAGTTTGAAGCACAAAGTCAGTGGTTCAAGCTCACCAGCCTCTCCTTGGGAACCCTATACAGGGTTGCTATGGGTTGGAACGGACTTGATGGCACTTAACAATGCCACCACAGAGCTGCTATGAGTTGGAATTGACTCGATGGCCCAAAACAACAACATTTAAGGCAAGTCCCCTGTGACCAACTGTTACGTTTATCTGGGAATTTGCAACTTTTTTCATTATAAGCATCCTAACAGAGATGTGCAAGAAGAAACTGGTTTGTTTACCTACTGTGTGTGCTTCTGTATTTTGGGGAGAATTAAGTCAGATGCTAGGAGATCAAGAATGGCACACAAGTAAACTTCATTTCCAACAGGCCTTGAGGACTGACCACTTTCGGGTCTGTGCCTCCAAATATTGTAGCTGATTCTTTTATGTCCAAATGTCAGAAGTCCACAGAATTTTCCCAGCTGTGACATGTAACACTGAGCTTGGAGTCCAGGTGACCAGAAAGCATTACACAAAAGATTATGACTTCAAAAGAGGAATTAAGAGCAGGGAGATGAATCTCGAAGGAATTAAGGATCACATTTCCATGTAAACATCTGCCCCAGGAAGAAAATAACAGTAAAGGGAAAAGTACCAGAGAACTTCGGGTCACAAGGGCAGCATTGTCTCCGGGTACACAGTGTTTCCCAACCCCTTCTGGAAAGCAACAAGAGCAAGCGCTCTACAGCTGCAACACCACCCGATTTCCGTCTATATGAAGCTTCCTTCTCATGCTCTAAGCCAACCATTTCTTGTAGGTTAGACCCTGTGGCTTCAGACCAGAATCCACAGTCACACTCAGAGTACCCAGCCAAGTCGATTCTGACTCAAGGCGATCTTGTGTACAGAGAGGAACTGCTCCAGAGGGTCTTCAAGGAGGTGCTCTTTTGGAAACAGATCACCAGGCCTTTCTTCCAAGGCTCTTCGGGGTGGGCTCAAACTGCCAACCTTTTGGTTAGCAATCAAGCCTGTTAACTGTTAGCACCATTCAGAGAACCAAAAGATACACGAGGAGCTCCAACACTGACTGAATGAACCACTTTCATCGAATCAGCTTTCCCTCCTGAGTCTGACAGTTATAGTTTCTAACCAGGCAACATCTGACATCATCTAGGATCCTGATGTGCCTCCTCTTCTGTTGGATGTATTCCTGGTGGTATATTCCATTCTAGCAGAAATATTATCTTAAAGGATATGAAAAGAAGCAACCAACTCAAAAAAGGTAGATGAAAGAAAATCACATTCAACCACCATGTGGGGTGAGTATAGTTTTGTAGGAGCACAGCTCAGGAAGCGTCCACAGTCCTGGGGTGCATGCTGGGCATCAGAAGCACATTTCCCAAATTCTAGAGTTGATTCTTCAGATGCTGGAGTATTTTTCAGTGCCCCAGTCACCTGCTCAGAAGGGCCTCTGTGCCCTCATGCTGTGGTCGCTGTGTGCAGATATGCTAAGGTCGCCAAGACTAACATCAGAAGACATGAAATCCAGAAAACTTAACACCTGCCAGATCTACACTCCTCCCATCTCTCCCAGAAGCACTTTCCTCTACGATGCCCGGCTAAAAGCTGGGAGAAGGAAGAGCTTACTCCTTTCTCTCTCTTCCTGAAGGGCTGGCAGTTCCGTACTGAGAATAGGAAAAAAATAAAACTCTTGTTCTCATTAGCCACTGGGGGTGCTTTCCCTCTGTAGGAAATACCCCTTTTGCTGTTAGATGCTTCCCATGTGGGGATAAGGGCAAAAGCGGATAATCTCTGAGGGTTCCAAGAACGTTCTTTGCCAAGTTCTCCTCTGTCCTGGAGTGGAATGGAGATTAAGATTCAGCATGGGAACTGGGACGAAGGAGTGGTGGGGCTGGAGCCAGGACAATGGGTTGGACTCTGGATGTGGGGAAGTGTCACATCAGGTGAGCACAGGGAATGTGCAGATCAGGATGAAAGAAGTTATGACGTAAGGCAGGGATGAGAGAAGCTGTACAGGTATCAGAATATGGTGGGCAGCAGCGTGATTGAGCGCAGGGGTAAAGCAGACATGGAGTGGGCACAGATTCCGTGGGATGATGTATCTGAAGACCTTCAAAAGCACGA